CTCCGTGGGAACGACCAATATGGCCGCCACGCGTAAAATGCGACTGCGATCAGGCTTCAATTTTCGCCCGGCTACAGGGTGGGATGCGCTATCTAGTGCATATGAGATATCTATGGTAATTTGCCACTTGACAACACACCCGCATTTTTCTGTTTCAACGTCCACATGATCGTGACGTCATTAAACACTCAACCTGAATCCGCAGTATAAGTTTGTTTGTCCAAAGGTTTGAGACTGTGATAAAGCTATGTGATCAGTGATTATAATGAGCGTGACAACCGGCGTCTATTTCGAATCCTGAGCTGCAAGTTTATTTTCAATTTGTTTTTGTACTGAAGGGTTGCACTTTTTTGTACAGTACAACCTAATGACTCGGTCAATTCCATAGATACCAGTCCCTCCCCTCCCGCATTTGTTGGGCATTCTACTGTACTTGTTCCCAAGGATGTTTCAAAGATTTCGGGTTTTATACATCCCATTGTTTTTAATACCAACCAAATAAGAATTTGTTACAGAATTTTTCACTGCTGTTTGAGATTAATTGCACTTCAGTTAACCAATCACAGGCTAGAGTGGATCGATATATCTGGTATACCGGTATTTGTTTAACTGCTGTTTGAGATTAATTGCACTTCAGTTAACCAATCACAGGCTAGAGTGGATCGATATATCTGGTATACCGGTATTTGTTTAGATACCGGTATTTGTTTAGATACCGGTATTGGCGATATTGACAATTCAAAAACACTGATATACCGGCGATATTGACAATTCAAAAACACTGATATACCGACATTTCAGTATTTTGCTGTGTAATAACGGATTGAAACGGTACTTCGAGTTGAACTTACTTGCAATCTTGTGTAGAAACCAAAGTTACTACTCGCATATGGACGATTTTGTTCTTATACAGTACTAGCAACTTTGGTTTTAGCAATACCAAGACGTCTTGTTTATTAAATTGCCTTAATCGGAAATATATAAATGGTGAAAATTTTTAAGGAATGGCAAAATTTTTAACGCTTGGGCGCCGTTAACATAGTTTGATAATGCAAATCTTGTGAAATTTGCACTAATAACAATATGTGTCACATTAATATTTTGTCAAAACTTATTTTTCTCAAAGTTCAGCAGTTCAGTTTGACTTAAAAAAAAAACACAGTAAAAAATACATTCTGATGGCAGTATATCAGTATTCGGTATTTGCGATATCGATCCATTCTATCACAGGCTGGTAATTTTTTCATGTATTTTATTAATTACTGGTATGTAATAATCCTTTATCAATTTATTTATCTAGGTTAGATACATCATTGTGTTCAACTGCATGTCACAGTCATAATGGAAGATTTAAAGGTGCTGTGAAAGCTAGATTATTTCAAGACCAGATGGTTGTGCGAGGCAAAAAAATGATTCTGTTGGATTGCTGTCGAGAAGAGTAACTGCGTAAGAACAAACTTTTTATTTTTTATTGCTGCTGCAGCGAGCGAGCCTGAAGCGAGCGAGCAAGGCAGCAGATCCTAATTTTGTTTTGTGGGTCGAAATCAAAATTTTCTATTTGGCGCATTGCATGACGGTACCAGTGAATTTTAACCGTGGTGCAGCGCGGTCAGGCATAAGGCAAACAGGCAATGTGATCATGCTTCATCAATGTGAATTCGTTTCGCCATTATACGCGGTGGTTCCAGTATTATACGCGGTGCTTTCACCATTTATATACGCGATGCTTTTGCAATTATACGCAGTGGTTCGTCGAGCACTATATGCGGTGCTTTTAATATTATACGCGATGCTAGCTTTCATTCAACATTATTTCCATATTCTTTCCATGACATGTATATGATTTAACGATTGCTTAAATTTGGTATGTGGCTGACAAATGCTTTTTGCCTATGGTCTGCATGGACAATGACATGCTTTTCTGTGTATATAAATGAATATAACGCAGCGAATGCGCCAAACAGTATAAACGCGGCTGAAATACGATATTAAAATCTTAAATGTGCCGTATGAATTTTTTTAATTATGTTTTAGGATTTACAAATGCTTTGTCATTTGTATTTATACTTGTACTGCATCACAAGGCAGTACGTAAGTGAAAAAATTCCACATGTGAGATTGTCTTGTGTACATTTTTGCTTTCTTTGATAAACATTATTAATTAAACACGCAAATTTTAATTAGTGAGACGCAATGTTAAATGTCACTTGCATGTCATTGTCATTGCCCTTTAACCCCTGGTCTAATTGGCCGCTTTTGAAAATGTTGACCATGACGAACCGCACTGCCTTACAAACTTTAGGGCCATTTATACGAGCGAAAATAAGCCGCGGCCTAAATAAGCCGCGGCTTAAATAAGTCACGAACAACTCGTATAAACAGTCAGTTCGCAATAAGCCGCGGCTTATTTAGGCCTAGCTTTCAAGCTTGGGCTTATTTTAGCCGCGGCTTATTGCAAATTGACTGTTTATACGAGTCGTTCGCGACTCATTCAAGCCGCGGCTTATTTAGGCTGCGGCTTATTTTCGCTCGTATAAATGGCTCTTTTGTGTTTTAAAAACGGGTTAGGATAAAACGCGGATACGGACAGACGAATGCATGATGGACGGATGGCGACGGACGGACCGGACGGATGACATATATGTCATTATATAGTCTGCGCGATGCCGCGCAGGGTAGTTAGTTAAAATAATTTTGTATATACCGAGAAATCAATATTCCGAGTATATAAATATATAAACTGGGATGTCACACTGATAGCTTGTTTACATGTCCTGGAGCATCATGAAATCTTATGTTTAACCACGGTGGTTCAACCCATTAGCTGGCAATGCGCCCTTCCCTTGTCCAACGCCAGAAGATTTTACTCATCAGTGGTATAGGGTACTGCCAGTAAATGGGTTAACAAACCTATCTCCCAATGGCTCTTGTTAATTCATCAACACAGTAATGACCCCTACTTTAGTATTTACCCTGTCCAACGCCAGACGATTTTTAATACTCAGTCAGTGGTAGGGTACTGTCAATAAATGGGTTAACAAGGTTAACAATAATAGGATGTTTCTGAAGGACTCGTTCAACACCCTGTAGTTTGTCTTTTGCTGTCAAAGGCAGCATTACTGCCCTGTGGGTAACCTAGTTACATCATTTTAATGACTTGCTTCCGATTTTCAGAGAGGTCTTGGAAACATTATTAATTGTTGATAAATATTCAGCAACTTGCCGATGAAATCAAGTGAGAAAAATTTCCGGAGAAACTTTCCAAAATTGTTGTCGCTCCAATATTGTTTAGGTCCATTTTTTTAAGTATTTTATAAAGCGTATGCTATGTATGTGCTAAGAAGCTAGTTTTGTTGGCATGTGGAAAGCAAAAGTAGTGAAGGTAAAGAGATTAAAATTGGATTTAGTGCGTATTTTTGAAAAAAATTTACCACCAAATATGGTAGTCTCCCCCCCCCCCCCCCCCCCTACTTGTGACGTCAGGTACATACGGGACTTTGGGGGCGGGTTTTGGCGGGAAAATCTGTAATGTTTGGAGAAGACAAGATGGCGCTGGTTACCTCGTGTCATATCAAAGGGCATTTTTGTTCACAAATACCCGCTTATTTTACGTTATAGCGACTGGTTCGTTTTGGAAATTATAACTCAATGGACGGGGAAAATGATTCTGTATTAAAGCTTATTTTACGTTATAGCGACTGGTTCGTTTTGGAAATTGTAACTAAATGGACGGGGAAAATGATTCTGTATTAAAGAGAAAAAGATGTCCGCGGTTATTGTGATGTTATTTGTTGTGAAAGACGGCCCGAAATTTCGCTACTTCGCAGTACTGGTCGCAGTACTGGTTTATAAAACATTTACAAGCAACAGCAATTGAACTATATGACAAAGAAACCAATGTATACAAGCCAATCAAGTTCTTCAGTTTAAAGGTTTAAAGGTTTATAAAACATTTACAAGCAACAGCAATTGAACTATATGACAAAGAAACCAATGTATACAAGCTAATCAAGTTCTTCAGTTTAAAGGTCTGTTTACTTTTTTTAATAATTAGTTCATTTAGTTGTACATTAATACGAAGTGCTGGAACAGTACGCCTAGTCACAGAATAGGGGTTAGCACTATTTTCCATCCAGCAAACTGACCTGACGTCATTTTCGCAAGATAGAAGAGGTGTTAAATGGTTATGTAACTAACCCAAACCCTACCCCTACTCTAACCCCTAACCTCAACTCTAACCCTAACTCTAACCCTAACCGAATTAATAAAAAAATCCAAAAAGAAACGACTTTACAAAATCGATAGGGCGGTTTGCTGGATGGAAAAAAGTGCTGACCCAGAATAGGAAGGTATACCCATTGAACTAAAAATAACTGGAACGATACCTCCAGTCGGAAATGTGAAGCCATGCCCAAGCATGCCCACTGTTGTCATGCCCAGTCTTTTCACGTAACGGAAATGAACGCGGGTTTTTTAAATTTCCAAAACTGGGTAAAAAAAATGCACTAAAACATGATTTAAAACGACGTAAAATGCACCTACCAGTACATTTTTTACAATAAAAACATCCTTCAAAACTCTAGAGTAAAATATTTTTAATTTATTTGTGTAGAATTCATAATTAAATTTCCTTTTTTGAAAAAAACGTTGAGCGAGGAGTGGAGCTTGCCGTGGTCTAATCATAAGTATTTGTGTGAATTTCCCTATTTTGCTCATTCGTTTTCCAATTTATTCATCTGAAAGTTAGGGAAAAAGGTATTCTAACAAGATCAAACTACCTTGTGTGAATTTCCCTATTTTGCTCATTCGTTTTCCAATTTATTCATCTGAAAGTTAGGGAAAAAGGTATTCTAACAAGATCAAACTACCAAGTTTAATTATGTTTTGTAGTAGAGTATTTATTAAGTTTTAAAGGTACAAAATAACAAATATAAACATTAAAGACATTAAGAAAGTTTTTTTCGCGGACAAGTATTTCATGTCGCGATTATTCACATTCGGCAAGAAATACACAGAACAAGTCGTCAACGGAGGCAAACAAAGTGATAGATACAGATTAAATAAACTTATCTTGTTTAACAATCAATGAAGTTGTTATAAATATATGTTTAATACGTTAAGATAAAGAATTACTTATCTTTCTCAAGTTTCATCTGCATATAAACGTTCCAGTCATTCAAATATGCAGATATAGACAGATTGTCTTCACTTAATCAGTGGCTCAGCTGGCTAGACCTTGATTCTTGCCTGCGGTCCCCCTTTGCATTTGACCCAAATGTTTTGGTCATTTTATATTTGCCAATATAAATCTTTTTGGCATAGAAATTATACATTTGGAATAATAATTTTGTATGCTGCATTCAATCTATTCTCCATTCAGGGAGATTCTTTTGTAAACACCCACACCAATCAGAAGTCTGTATTTTTATGCTAAAACAGAAATTGGCATCCCAGAGAGTAAATTATATTCAAGTTTAGGGCATGTTGCAGCTCTATATCTTGCCGTTGCAAGTTGCTTTGCGTTTGATGTTTGTTCTGGGATAAAATATTGAATTATACCTTAAATTAATGTTTTGTGAAATTTAGTTTAAATAATTTAGTAGAGAGATGAGTGCATAAAGCATAATATTGAATTATACCTTAAATTAATGTTTTGTGAAATTTAGTTTAAATAATTTAGTAGAGAGATGAGTGCATAAAAAATAGGGATTTTGAAGCTAAATATGTTATAAAATTTGTCATTTTAGTGAATGCATTCTTTTCTGCTCGTCCTGGTTGTTGCAAGGAGACATCAGGCATTGTAATGGATGGATGACGATGTGTCACTGGCATACCTACACCGTGTGCATTTTCTTGGTGGATATCTTGGCCAAATGTGCAATAAGACGAGGGATATCTTGGGCAAATATCTTATATAAATTGGTACGATTGCTTACCTTAAATTACTAAAGAAGGATGATGTTGTAAGGTTAGTGGATATTTATAATAGTGATAAAATGGGGGTTCCCTATGAATAGGAACAAAGTAAGGCTGCCTAATTAAGTGGAAACAATATTGCGCAGTGTAACAATCTAAAAATATGGCGGACTGAAATCTGTAAAAATGATGCATGTTTAATTTAAAACATGCAAAAATTGCGGCAAAAATATGGCGGACTGAAATCTGTAAAAATGATGCCTGTTTAATTTAAAACATGCAAAAATTGCGACATAAATCACGAAACATGCTTCTTACAACTACATGCTATGTTTATAGGAATTTGAATAAGTTTTTAGTAGGCATGATTTAGGATTTTTGTTTTATTTTCTTTTATGATTTTCTATAAATGCCCCAACTAGTTTATATCTAATACGTAATGTATAATATATAGATTGTAAATTTTTTGATCTAGAAAATAATAGAGTTCTTATACAACTACATGCTGTGTTGGGTTGTTAGGGTTGAATAAGTTTTTAGTAGGCATGATTTAGGATTGTTTTTATTTATGATTTTCTATAGACTGTCCCCCCCCCCCCTCGTGGTGGAAGGATAACAGCCTGTGGCCATTTGTCACTAATGCTGCACAGTGACGTAGTCGTATAAATAGATATATAGACTGCCCCCTCCCCCCTCGTGGTGGAAGGCGTAACAGCCTGTGGCCATTTGTCACTAATGCTGCACAGTGACGTAGTCGTATAAATAGATATTTAACAGTCTGTGGCCATTTGTCACTAATGCTGCACAGTGATGTAGTCGTATAAATAGATATAATATTGTGCAATATTGTGCACTTCAGTGGCTTTCTAATTTTATTATCCAATCAGGTGTGTTACTTTAAATAGAACTTATTGTATGTAAACAAGGTCAATAGACAACGTTTGGGACAACATTGCTTTCTTTAACATATAGCATAATTTGTCTTCGTCATTCTGTGCACAATGAAGTATTGGGTCATTCCAGAAAACATCCATACCCCCCCCCACGGAGGAAATAGGAAGTTAACCCCCTACCCCCTTCGGATGCCCTAATACATTTACTATTATCAGAAACAATTTTTTGTCTCCTCCCCCTCCGGACGGCAGAAATTTCCTCTGTGGGGGGAGTATGGATCTATTCTGGAACGACCCATTCAAGGCAAAGAAAATATGCAAGCATTAAATATTTCCTGCATTATTTCTCAATCCTTGCTCAATGACAAAAACATAAAATTAAATTTGTAATATAGAAAAATAGATTTTCTGTAATATATATTTATCTGAAACAACCTCATGCTATGTACACTTTTGTAAGTTGTCTGTTTGTTTCAAAACTTACAAAAGTGTACATTAAAACAAGTAAGACTGAAGAATCATCTAAAATTCTTTATTTTACAAATACTGTATAAATATACAATAACATAACTTAATTTATGAGAATAAATACAACTATCAGGAACAACAAGAGAGTGGAGTAGCAAGACTACAAGCAGTGTTACATTTCAAACAGATTCTTAGTTTATATTGATAGCAGTAATGTACCATCTGTATAACATACAGTTGTAAAATTTGTAACGTCTCTCTGGAGCAGGGGGTGAGCGGAGGTGAGACACTGGGAACGAGGATGGGCTCATATTAAGAGTTTTTTGTAGGGCATATAGACGGGGGGACTCATATATGGGGGGGGGGGTATTCAAATGTTACATATCAAAATCTAAGTTAGTCCTTTATGAATGCAATAAAACATTCAAGTATAGTAGCTTTTGTAGTTTTTGTTACATTTAATCAAACAGCACAAGTTGTTTTTTTTTGGGGGGGGCACAGTCTTTCTTTAGGTTGTAAAGCGATGATTGGGCTAAGAAAATTTCAATACGTCATTGCTGTTGAAATGACTTAATTCATCACTAATAATACGAAAGCTTATGTTGCTCATAATATACCATCCAGCGTCTATTTTTGAGAAAATTGTTGCACAAACCATGTTCCAATGTTTGCGATGTGACCATTGCATATGGCTGTCAAAAACGTCCAGATTAGTTAGATTATTGTTTTCTAAAACATTGCGCGGCTCGTGATTTTAGAACTCTTTTTATGCTTTAACCCATTGAGTGGATCCACTTGACAAGTAAAATCCTGTGGCGTTAGACAGTAAAATACTAAAGTAGGGTGCATCTGGGTGCAATGCAACTTAAAGGGTTAAATTAACCAAAAAAAAGTTCATACATTTGTTTGAAAAAAGATTTTAACACAGTACCATGCCTGTTTGTATTTCGAAGTTCCTTGAGTTACACATGATACTGCATGTATATATATATATATATATATATATATATATATTGTTTGAAAAAAGATTTTAACACAGTACCATGCCTGTTTGTATTTCGAAGTTCCTTGAGTTACACATGATACTGCATGTATATATATATATATATATATATATATATATATATATATATATATATATATATATATATATATAATATAAACGAAAAACATAACCCCGGGGGGGGGGGGGATAAAACCCTAGTAGGGAACCACCTCCAGACCAATTTACACTCACCTGCGACAAAATAGGGAGGTTGTGTGCTTGATTTGCACAGTGCAAATGGGACCATCTGATGCACAAGACTTTCCTCTTGATGAGTAAAATGATCTGATATCAGACATTTGAATTCCTTTGCAGCTTAAGGAGTTAATCCTATTTATCTTAGAGAACAGCAATTCAACTATCTGGCTGGCTTGACAAATAACTATACACCAACAATGTGTGCAAAGGCAATTAAGTGTATCCTTGGAAAATTTTATCTGAGATTATGCAGAGTTGTTTACAACTTTTTTGTTCAAGCCTAGTGACTTATTTCAGTACATGAAAATCATCCCACCTTTCATCCTGTCCTGACAAACTGGGATCATGTAAACAGCACATTTAGCCATTAAGTTGATTTGCACTCTAATTTTCCTCACTTATATTATTTAACTCTGTCTAACGTCATACAATTTTATTAAGCAGGGGGTGCACTGGCAGTTAATTAATGAGTAACTAGACACATGGGCAGTCTCATTATGAAGCATAAAATCGTCTAGCGTTGGACAGTAAAATACTCAAGTAGAGCATGCATCAGGGCACAGTACAACCTAATGGTTAAATTTGTTTTTTGTAGCAAAATGGTTTAAGTTTTATATCTGAATTTTTTTATTTTTTTTTTTGCTTTGTTTTACAGATCATTACTTGAACGTGCTGATGAAATATTGATTTATAAAATATCATGTTACCAAGATGACATGCCTCGAAGAGCAATACATGAGGGAATACCTCTATTTCTAATCAAATTACAACAATACACCAAAGACAGTAGTTCTCGGATGAAATGAAAGGATTGATAAATGTTCATGGCCAGCAGTGGATATTTGTGACTATAATAAATGGATACAAAGAAACTATGATGGATAAATATGGCCCCGTAATGGATATTCAGTTGATGGACATACAAAGGTCACAGAAATGTCTATTTTCAGGTACTGTTCTTTCTTGTTTGCCTGCGAACAGGCTGTAGATACTTGTATCCAGGCCATTGTTTGTTTTTTTTTGTTCTGGGTACAATGAAATCCGGCATAAATCCTGGCGGTCTAAATGTTCAGTATATTTACAAATTCGATCTATTTTCTGTTCAGTAGACTTTGATAGCTTGAAAGAAAGTTTATAACGATGATTTTCTCTGCAAAAACTGTACTTTCGAAATTCGTCGGCTTCTGAATTTGATAACCGATCTGAAAAAAAAAGGAACATTTGAGTGTATGGTTATTGCATGGTTCTATATATATTCTATATATACTGCCTTTGTGCACACGCATAACAAGTGCAGCAACGCAACAGTTTAGACAGGGTCATGAGGCAGGATGTGTACAAGAAAAGCTTTGCCAGAGTTTTGTCTTTCGAAATAGAACGACGATTGGAAATTGCTGTTTGATTCTTTGTAATATCTTGTCGCTTGTTAGTGAAAAAGAAATTTGTCACTTTCCTCATCTAAGGCCCTGTTACATGAGACCGGAACGAAGTCAAACCGGGACCATTTCGTTTCGGTCACAGTATTATTTATAATAGATGTTTACATGAGACCGGGACGAAAATAACTCAGACCGGTCTCAAGTCATTCCGCCTGCTGAACCGAACCGACTGACTTCAGACCGGCATGAATTCAGACGGGGATGAATGTAAACAGAAATACATTTCAGACCGGTCTCGCTGTAACCTTGACATTGGAACAACACACGCTAACAAAAGCCATCTGAAAAAGAAAATTGCCCTGGCAAGGGGAATAAGTTGAAAATTTTGTGATTTTCGTACCGGTCTCATGTAAAGATATTGTCAATTTCAATTTTCGTCCCGGTCTCATGTAAACGGGGCCTAAACCTTTTTTTTTCAAAAAACTGGCATCGTTTGTCTTGGGGTTAGGGGGTACAAATGGTACCCATAGCTTAGAGGGTGCAAATGGTACCCGTAAGAAGACTTGGTGGAAATCATGTTGGTCGTTTGGATCGGCGAGAATAAGACAATTATGGTGGCAAAGTTTTTTTAAACATTTTCTCTCCCGTAGTAAGGTAAAGCATGTATTTTCCTGGTAGCCGGTCTTACTTCATGAAAAATAGTCCGCTACCAGTGACTAGGTCCCCTCTCTTATGGCGGTTATTCCGGCTCAATATCTTCGGGGATATTCCTTTTCAGGGCGGTTGCATGCGGATAATATGGTCCGTCGCGTTCGCAAAATAGTTAGGGAGTTAGACAGTTTAGAAGCGTCCAAACTGCGCAATATACGACACTCGCATGAAACGTAAAATACTTTATAATAATTCACAAAATTGCGAAAACAAAAAATTGACAATTTTGCAATTTGAATTGTGCGTTTCTGGCAAATGCCTTTAGATTATTCATTATTTCTAATGAAAAGACCGCCAGGGTTAGAGTGTTTTTATGTGGTTTGTTAAGGAGCAAACTCGCTTTTTAAAAAAAGAAATGTGTATTAATTTCGATCCAGATTTGTTCCTGAACATGGTCGCCATGAAAACACTCTGTAGAGCAAGCTCAGCGACGTACGGTCATTATAGCGTCGTCGGAAGTTTGCATTCAGCATTTTCGTTCAAAATTGAACGTACATTATGCTATGCTAGGGTTGCGTACAAGTTAGGGTGTAGCAATTCTAAAGGAATAACTAATATGTATAAATAGGGTGTGCGCACGAAGTTTTTTTCGCAGGCCTTTAATAACTTCGGGGAAAATAATAAAAAAAGCAGTGTCCGTGGTCGGGGCTGAATAGTACTGTGGAAGATTGGGTTGGAAAATTTGCAATTAAGATCTGTATTTTTGGGCAATTGTTACTTTTTGAAAAATAGTATCCTACTGATGTAAAATAACATCGGAAGGGTTTGGCAACAATGATGTCCAAAGAGTATGTTAGCCCTAAAGTTTATTTCATAAAATGATTTATCTTTGTATATACTCAATTACAAGACAATTTAAAGTGCGAGTAAAAGTTTAATAACAATTGATATAAATTGAAACTCATTCTGGCTCAAATTTTATTTCATATAATGATTTTTCTCAGAATACTCGATTACATGACAATTCAAAAAGAATATTTAAAGTCAAAATATTAATCATAATTCAAATTCAAAATGACTTTTGGGTCACATTTTATGCCTACTCATATGGTTGTGTCCACAGAAGCCTGAGGTATTATATTAGATACGAAATACAACGTTTTTAAAAAAACAACCTTATCAAAAATCAGTTAAATATACTCGCCTTTTAAGCAAAAGCGAAAAGATTATTTTTGCCACAATTTTACGGTAAACCCAAACGTGGTGACGGAATTTCCCAGCATTTATATGTGCTGAAATTGAACTAAATCGAGAAATTTAACCAAAGTATAATTTTGCCACTCACCGGGTTTGAGTATCTTTTGTGACAATATGGATACTATACCATGAAGATTAGATGTTTGATTAGTACTAAGTAAGTGTTTTCGTCAAAAACACTACTGAAATCATGCCTTTGACAGGGTTGACTAAGTTAGCCTAAAAACCCAATAATTTCCCATTCCATGTTTGTAATATGCATTCAATATGATAGATACGGCAGGCCTTCTACTCTTTCTTCTACTCCATAAATTGGAACAGAATGGCTGAAATTGAGTATACTAAAAGACTTTGATGAAATAAAATTTGGGGTTAATGCATATGTCGTTTTTCGTCTTGCGTAACGTCAGTTGTGTGTAACTTTTATGAAAAAAATCAAAGTCTTGAGATTTTGTTTTTCAACAAGTAATAATGGTCTAGAAATACAGATTTATATTGCACATGTTAGTTTCTTCAGTAAGGTCTGTAAACATTGGCACAACTGCTTGTTCCCCATGCATAAATTTTTAACTAGTTTTTGGGATTGGATTTATTCAAATTTGAGGTGATTTTGAACACATATTATTGGTATGTTACTCATTATGATATGAGTAAAATATTGTTCGTTTATACATTGTTCTAGTTTCTATAGCTTTTTATTTGTCTTATCAGTTGAAATATATGTTGTGATTGTTTACGAAATATATTGAATTATTTGTGAATTGTTCGTTCATTTTATGCATGACGAAACCCAAAATTTATAGTTTGGTGGTCACAACAAATTTGAGCATAAAAATGTTAAAATTGTACAATAAAACACTAGGTATTATATTCGAAATCACTGGAACACGACTAGTTTTAAATATGCTTGAACTGAATTTCATACATGGAGTATTTCAAAAGTTCTGATCAGTTATCTGTTTAAAAACGTTTGAAATCATGCATGTATGAAATTCAGTTCAAGCATATTTAAAACTAGTCGTGTTCCAGTGATTTCGGATATAATACCTAGTGTTTTGGGTGTACAATTTTAACATTTTTATGCTCAAATTTGTTGTGACCATCAATCAAACTATAAATTTCGGGATTCGTCATGCATAAAATGAACGAACAATTCACAAATAATTCAATATATTTCGTAAACAATCACAACATATATATTTCAACTGATAAGACAAATAAAAAGCTATAGAAACTAGAACAATGTATAAACAAACGAACAATATTTTACTCATCATAATGAGTAATATACCAACATGTGTTCAAAATCACCTCAAATTTGAATAAAACCAATCCCAAAAACTAGTTAAAAATTTATGCATGCGGAACAAGCAGTCGTGCCAATGTTTACAGACCACCGTCCACAGTACTACTTGGTTTGTGGGTTCAAATCCCAAAACACTGAACTTATTATAAGTTACTAATGGATCCGATGGATTTTAGTTATATAAAAAAAATGGATCTGATGGATCCATTTTTTTTTATATAACTAAAATCCATCAGATCCATCGGATCCATTTTTTTTTATATAACTAAATCCATTGGATCCATCAGATCCATCGGATCCATTTTTTTTATGTAACTAAAATCCATCGGATCCATCAGATCCATCGGATCCATTTTTTTTATATAACTAAAATCCATTGGATCCATCGGATCCATCAGATCCATTTTTTTTTATATAACTAAAATCCATCGGATCCATCAGATCCATCGGATCCATTTTTTTTATATAACTAAAATCCATTGGATCCATCGGATCCATCAGATCCATTTTTTTTTATATAACTAAAATCCATTGGATCCATCGGATCCATCAGATCCATTTTTTTTTTATATAACTAAAATCCATTGGATCCATCGGATCCATTGGATCCACCAGATCCATTTTTTTTTATATAACTAAAATCCATTGGATCCATCGGATCCATTGGATCCATCAGATCCATTTTTTTTTATATAACTAAAATCCATTGGATCCATTTTTTTTTATATAACTAAAATCCATTGGATCCATCGGATCCATCAGATCCATTTTTTTTTATATAACTAAAATCCATTGGATCCATCGGATCCATTGGATCCACCAGATCCATTTTTTTTTTATATAACTAAAATCCATTGGATCCATCAGATCCATCGGATCCATTTTTTTTTATATAACTAAAATCCATTGGATCCATCGGATCCATTGGATCCACCAGATCCATTTTTTTTTATATAACTAAAATCCATTGGATCCATCGGATCCATCAGATCCATTTTTTTTTATATAACTAAAATCCATTGGATCCATCGGATCCAATTTTTTTTATATAACTAAAATCCATTGGATCCATCGGATCCAATTTTTTTTATATAACTAAAATCCATTGGATCCATCAGATCCATTTTTTTTTATATAACTAAAATCCATTGGATCCATCGGATCCATTTTTTTTTATATAACTAAAATCCATTGGATCCATCGGATCCATCAGATCCATCGGATCCATTTTTTTTTATATAACTAAAATCCATTGGATCCATCGGATCCATCAGATCCATCGGATCCATTTTTTTTTATATAACTAAAATCCATTGGATCCATCGGATCCATTGGATCCATCAGATCCATTTTTTTTTATATAACTAAAATCCATTGGATCCATTGGATCCATCAGATCCATTTTTTTTTATATAACTAAAATCCATTGGATCCATCGGATCCATTTTTTTTTATATAACTAAAATCCATTGGATCCATCGGATCCATCAGATCCATTTTTTTTTATATAACTAAAATCCATTGGATCCATCGGATCCATCAGATCCTTCGGATCCATTTTTTTTTATATAACTAAAATCCATTGGATCCATCGGATCCATTTTTTTTTATATAACTAAAATCCATTGGATCCATCAGATCCATCGGATCCATTTTTTTATATAACTAAAATCCATTGGATCCATCGGATCCATCAGATCCATCGGATCCATCTGATCCATTTTTTTTTATATAACTAAAATCCATTGGATCCATCGAATCCATCAGATCCATTTTTTTTTATATAACTAAAATCCATTGGATCCATCAGATCCATTGGATCCATCAGATCCATCGGATCCATTTTTTTTTATATAACTAAAATCCATTGGATCCATCAGATCCATTGGATCCATCGGATCCATTTTTTATATAACTAAAATCCATTGGATCCATCAGATCCATTGGATCCATCAGATCCATCGGATCCATTTTTTTTTATATAACTAAAATCCATTGGATCCATCAGATCCATTGGATCCATCGGATCCATTTTTTTATATAACTAAAATCCATTGGATCCATTTTATATAACTAAAATCCATTGGATCCATCGGATCCATCAGATCCATTGGATCCATCAGATCCAATTTTTTTTATATAACTAAAATCCATTGGATCCATCAGATCAATTTTTTTTTTATATAACTAACTAAAATCCATTGGATCCATCAGATCCATTGGATCCATTTTTTTTATATAACTAAAATCCATTGGATCCATCAGATCCATTTTTTTTATATAACTAAAATCCATTGGATCCATCGGATCCATCAGATCCATTTTTTTTATATAACTAAAATCCATTGGATCCATCAGATCCATTCGATCCATTTTTTTTATATAACTAAAATCCATTGGATCCATCAGATCCATTGGATCCATTTTTTTTATATAACTAAAATCCATTGGATCCATCAGATCCATTTTTTTTATATAACTAAAATCCATTGGATCCATCGGATCCATTCGATCCATTTGGATCCATCGGATCCATCAGATCCATTGG